GGGGGCGCCCTCTGGCTGTGGCTGTCGTGGGTCGGCCAAGCCTCTGGGATCTCCAGGTCTGCAGAGCACTAAGGGGAAGAGGTTCTCTGCAGTGCACAGCTGGCCCTGAAGATGCGGCCTGCCTGGGGCAGGGTATGGAAAGGCCGACCCTGACCTGAACACCTTTCCAGAGGCGTTTCTCACTGTGGGCATCCATGGCCACTGTACTACTGACCCATACTACATTTATAAGAGGTTAACTACAGGGACCAGCATTGGTGTAATGGTTACATCGCTGGACTCCCATGGAGTGAACTGCGGTTCGCATCCCGGACCCGGTGGCTTAAACTCACACCGGGCATGTGTGTGTGTGTGCCCAAGATCCCGAGAGGAGAAGGGATTGCAGCGTGACCATTCCCCCTGGGGGGTGATTTCTCGCTTTCTGTCTCTCTGTCTCTCTCTGTCTTTCCAGCAAACATATGCGCCCTACAGCAAAAATCTCTCAAAAACTTAATTACGATTTCTTGTTAGAAAAATGGAATCAGCACATGCTCAGAGCTCCCTGGAAGGTGGACTTTGGCCATCGGGAGCGTGCAGCAGGGCTGCGGTCCACACTCACTGGTCGTGCAAGTTTGCCAAGCTAAGCGCGTGTGGGACGGTTCCCTCCAGATGAGGCACGTTAGAAATGGACCCGCTCAGGCCAGCCAGGTTCCGTGGTGGTTAAGGCTGCTGGATTCCACATGGCTGACCATGCAGTTAGAATCTCAGACCTGGTAGCTTGAAAAACATGTCAGGTGTGTGTGTGTGTGTGTGTGTGTGTGTGCCCAAAGTCCTGAGAGCAGAGTCTCAGAGAAGGGACTGCTGAGTGGCCATCCTCATGGGGGCGACTTAGTAGTTTCCCTCTCTGTCTCTCTCTGTGTCTCCAGTGAGCTCATGCGCCCTATAGCAAAACTAGAAAGAAGAAAAATAGACTATGAACTTACAACACAGGGTATATATCATGTTCCCTGGTATTTTAATGACACCGCTGTTATAAAATAATAATAAACCACCCACCCACTCCAGCACCTTCCCCAAATATAGCCACATCTATGTTTTGCTTTTCTCTCCTTTTTTTAATTTTACTTTGCCAGAGGGCTCGTGCGCTTGCCAGAGAGACAAAGAGACAGAGAGAGATGAAGAAAGGCCCCCCAGAATGGGGCATGTCCACACCACCATCTCCTCTCCTTCAGCTGTCCCTCTGTCGGGGCTTTGGCGTGCACACACGCATGCCTGCCACTGCCCTTGAGCTGCAGGGGCTGGGACTCGAACCGTACAGACGGCCAGGTGGGATCAGCTCTCCAAACCACTGCCCTGGAGCCGGCCTCACATCTTTAGTTTTTTGTTTTTTTTTTTTGTAGAGATTTTTCACTATAGGGCACGTGCGCTTGCCAGACAGACGGAGAGAGACAGAGAGACAGAAAGCGAGAAATCACCCCCCAGGGGGGATGGTCACGCCGCAATCCCTTCTCCTCCATTCTCCTCTCGGGATCTTGGGCACGCACGCACACGTGCCCGGCGTGAGTTTTAAGCCACCGGGTCCGGGACACGAACCGCGGTCGACTACGTGGGAGTCCAGCGACATAGCCATTACACTAACTGCTGGTTCCAACATCTTTGTTCTTCTAATGAAACAAATCTTGCTCTATCTCCATTCACCAGGTCGGTAGGAATTTAATCTCAGGCGCGCCTGGGGGGGGCTTCCCGCTCCCTGAGGTCATGTAAGAACCCTAGAAAGCAGAGTGGAGGAGTTTCCTTCTAAGGTGCAGGTGTGGGGCCGTGCCTCTGGTGTGCATGGTCGCCCTGAGCGGGATGCTCAGAGCCCCACTGGTGGGGTTCGTGTGGAGGCAGCCGGCCGTCCTTCAAAGCACCCAGTCCTCAGATTTCCCGTGGCCAGTGTCCACACTGCTCTGCAGAGATGCCGTCACCTCCCAGAGCCCAGGGAACCTGCATGCCCCCATGTCACCTCCTGCACCTCCGTCAGACAGGGGCACCTGTCGATATAACCAGCTCTGCAGAAAGAATGCACGTGGTTTACGTCTAAGCACGCATGTGTGTGACCCAGGCCCAGAGAAGAAGCAGACATGCCTTTCTCAGGTGACAGACAGAGGGATTGCTTTGATTTGATTTTGAGAGTGAGAGACAATGTTTGGAATTTGGTGAAAAGAGTTTTCTTATTGGTCTGTCCCAAAAAGGTCATTTGGAAGGAAGGGTTTGGGGGGCTTTACAATTCTTAGGTTGGGGGTCAGAAAGGGGGGCGAAAGCAGAGTGTGCTTTAACAGGGATAGGGGACTTGTACACGTCACGAGCTGCTGTCCCGAGGATAAGATGCTGGAAGAATCCTGGTACCAAATGGACCGAATGATCTGTTCAAGTCTGTGGACGTGACTCACCCCGGGCCCTCAGGAAGGGATTTTGGAAACAGGAAAAAGCCATCAGGCTTCTGTCCTCACCCCCTTGGTGCCAGCGCCTAGGCCACCTGTGGTTGGCGCACTCTCCTTCCTGTGCTCTCCGGGTCTCTCCATCACAGTGACCGAAGCCTGGCGTTGTCCGTGTAGCGGCTGTGGTCACCTGCCACGCGCGTGCAGCAACATGCAGGCCTGTTCGTTCCCGGTGCACGGCCCTGGAGCCAGGCTCAGGTGCCCGCTCAGCCAGCCTCCTGAGTCCCGCTGTCGGGGAGAGCAGCACAGGGAGAGGCCGATGGGCCGGGACGTCTCGCTTTGTCTAAAAGGGCGAGAGTTTGGTGTCATGGCTCGCGAGAGAGCCAGTGGTAGCCTGTCAAGGACACCCTCACAGAATTCTTTTTTTTCTTAAGAATTATTTTATTTAACTTTATCTATCTATTTATTTTTAAAATTTGAACAGAGGACAGAGTGAGACGGGGAGAGTGAGAAAGCAAGCTGCCAGGTCCAGGACTCGAACTACGGTCAGCCATGTGGGAGTCCAGAGCCCCTAATCACCATGCCACCTGCCAGCCCCACCCGCACAGAATCCTGTCTGTCCTTCCAGTCCCTCAGAGCGCAGGGCTACACTGCTCACTTTCCAAGGGGGGAAGGCTCAGTCGCTGGTTCACCATCTCCGTGGAAGGTGGCGAGGCCAGGGTTGCACGTCAGTGTGAGACCGTGAAGACCTGAACCAGGGCAGGGGCAATGGGATTCCTTGGGCATTGTGTGTACCTACTATGTGCCAGACACACTCCTAGGAACTGGCCCAGAACACAGCGGTGACCAAGCCAAGGTCTTCCTGTCGATGACTACACACAAAGGATTAAATAAGATGGACCCAATATTGATGAATGCTTTGAGACAGGATCAGGGACGCCCTGTCTGAGAAGCAGACACGGGAACTGACACCCTGAGTGACAGCAGCCAGTCTTGGGACAGTGTTGGGAAGGGCATCGCAGCTGATGGCACTGCATGGCAAGGCCCCGAGGCGGCAAATCTTCAAGGAATGGAAGGAGGTCAGGGTGGCAAGTGGTGAGGGGTGGGCGGTAGGGGACGGACTAGGAGGGAGGGTCGCGAGGCCAGGTCCTGCAGGGCCTTGCAACCGAGAAACGGACGCTGGCTTTCAGTAGAAGGTGCCTCGGTTAATACTTTTGCAAGGCGCTGTGTGCCACTGGGAAACAGGGAGGTGGAGGACGAGAACGATGGCGAGACGGCCGGGCAGGGGCTGGTGGGGGAGAGACCACGTGGCGTGGAGGGAGGACACCTTCCAGGTGTGTCGCAGGTGGGAGGAGGCAGACACTGGCGTGGCGGTGTCCAGGGCCAGACTCCTCTTAGTCCCTCCTTCCTCGTCTCTTCGTCCGTCTCCAGGTTACATCCTGGCCAAGCGCAGAGAGTCCCCGAGGAGCCCAATCAAGAAGCAGGCGGATCTGTCCCCGCAGCCTCCCCAGATGGACCTGCTGACAGTGCCTGAGGTGGACGTGCAGACGGAGGCACGGCCCCTGACCCTGGAGGAGATGGAGGACGTGGGCAAGCGGTACCGGGAGAAGAGGCGGCAGCACCAGGTGCCCGGCCGGGCGCCTGCGCTTGGGGGCCACGGGGTGGAGCTCACACCCTGCCCCTGCAGGAGGACCTTGGGGGGCTTCATTCCTCGGAGTTCCCGGCCCCTCCTCTGTCTAAGAGCACTGTCTGCCTCACCAGGTGTTTTGTTTGTTTGTTTGTTTGTTTGTTTTGTTTTGTTTTGAGAGGTTTTTGCTATACGGCGCGTGCGCTCGCCAGACAGAGAGAGAGAGACAGAGAGACAGAAAGCAGGAAATCACCCCCCAGGGGGGATGGTCACATCGCAATCCCTTCTCCTCCTTTCTCCTCTCGGGATCTTGGGCACACACACACACGCGCCCAGCGTGAGTTTAAGCCACTGGGTCCGGGACTCGAACCACAATCGACTACATGGGAGTCCAGCAACATAGCCATTACGCTAACTGCTGGTCTCTCAGCAGGTGTTTTTGAGGATGACGTGGGGAAGCATCCATGTCCTCCACTCCCTGCTCTTTTTACTTTTTTTAACTCTTTTTCAGATGTTTTTGCCTTAGGGCGCGTGAGAGACAGAAACGATGAGCGGAAATGTGAGAATCACCCCCTTCCCAAAGGGAACGGCCACTCTGCAATCCCTCCTCCTCCATTCTCCCAGGATCTTGGGCATGCATCCACATGTGCCCAGCATGAGTTTCAAGCCGCTGGGTCCAGGACTTGAACCGCAGTTGGCCATGTGGGAGTCCAGCGACGTAACTGCTACGCCATCTGCTGGCCCAGTTTTTGTTTTTAATTTACGATGATGCACGTGCATTTGCTGGAGGGAGACGGGTGAAAAGACAGAGACAGAGGTGACGTGAGAAAGAGCCCCCCATGGGGGATGGTCATGCCACAGTCCCTTCTCCATTCTCCTCTTGGGATTTGGGGCATACATGCACACACGCCCGGTGTGTTTTCCAAGCCACCAGGTCTAGGACTCGAACCACCCTGTCAGCCGTGTGGGATCCAGCCACTTTCATGACCACGCCAGCAGCCGGCTCCCCTCCCTGAGCTTCACTGATGGCTGTGGTCCAGGGAGCAGGGCTGCAGCTACATCACGACTAGACTCCAAGCCCCTGGCTCAGGCCTGACCCAGGGCAGACACCCCAGCGTGCAGGGCGCGTAGAGGCAGGAGGGTCGATCTCTGAATGAATGCATCCAGTAGGTCGCCATCAAGGGGGGCACTGGAGTGGGGCTGGAGTGTAGTCTGTGCCCCCCGGAGCCAGGACGAGTCAGGGAGGCAGACCACCAGCACAGTCCTGTCGGCACACAGGCACGGTGCGAATCCGCATTTGCACATACTGTGACATGTTGGCGATAAAATGACAAGCGCCGCTCGGTGCCACAGCGCTAAGATTTGACTCCGTTGCATGACAAGAAAGCCCAAAACAATGGAGCAGGGGCGGGCAAAGCTGTGTAAAGGATCAGAGGGCAGCACCAGCTGCTGTGGCCACGCGGTTCGAGTCACGACCACTCAGAGGCTCGGGGCCGTGCATAGCCCGCCCGGACAGCACTAAAGTGGGCGTGGCTGTGTGCCAATACAAGTTTATTTATTTATATTTTTAAAGAATTTTTTTGAGAGGTTTTCACTATAGGGCACGTGCACTCGCCAGACAGACAGAGAGAGACAGAGAGACAGAAAGCGAGAAATCACCCCCCAGGGGGGATGGTCACACCGCAATCCCTTCTCCTCCATTCTCCTCTCGGGATCTTGGGCACGCACGCACATGCGCCCGGCGTGAGTTTAAGCCACCGGGTCCGGGACTCGAACCACGGTCGACTACATGGGAGTCCAGTGACACAGTCATTACGCTAACTGCTGGTTCCCAAGAATTATTTTATTTTGGGACCAGCAGAAGGCGTAGCAGTGGCATCCCTGGACTCCCGCATGGCCAACTGCAGTTCAAGTCCCAGACTCGGTGGCTGGAAAATCACATTGGGCACATGTGCGTGTGTGCCCAAGATCCTGGGGGAGGGATGACCTGACCAACCCCCCTGGGGCGTGATTTCTCTTTCCTGTCACTGTGTCTGTCTCTCTTTTCAATGAGCGCACGTGCCCTAAGGCACGAACCTCTCAAACATTTTTATTTCATGTACTATTATTTCATTTGATGAGAGAGAGAAAGCAAGCTGCCAGGTCCAGGACTCCAACAGCTGTCGGCCCTGCCGGAGCCCAGTGCCTTACTCGCCACACCACCTCCTGGCCCCATAAAACTTTATTTGCAAACACAGGCGGTGGGCCAGATTTGGCCTAAGGGCTATATTTTTGCTGATTCTGGTGTGAAAAACTTTACAAAGAGAACCTTTTTTTTTCTTGTTAAAGGAGATAAAGGAAGGGCCAGGCCGTGGCCTGGTGGTTAAGGGAACTGCCTCCCACATGGCTGGCCACGGTGGAATCCCAGCCCCAGCAGATTGAAAAACATGCGAGTGTGTGTGTGTGTGTGTGTGTGTGTGTGTGCAGAGTCCCGGCAGATGGAGAGGTGGAGGAGAGGAGATTGTGACGTGATTGCGCCCCAGTGGAGGGGGGCGTTCTTCCTCTCTCTCCCTCTCTCTATGTCTCTGTTTCTCTCTGGTGAGTGCGTGCACCTTCTAGCCAAAAAAAAAAAAAAAAGAAAGAAAGAAAAAGAAAGAAAGACAGAAAAGAAAAAAAAAGAAGAGGGCCCAACCAGTGTATCTATAGGCTCCCCAGGCCCCTTCTACCTGAGCATGTGGCTCCACTGCAAGGTCCCAGATGACTGTGCCTAATTAAATCCCCACGTGGCCAGGACCAGCAGATGGCGCAGTGGTTAGGTGGCTGGACTCCTGCATACCCTTAACACTGTTCAAGTCCCCGACATGGCGGCTTAAAACTCACGCCGGGCGCGTGTGCGTGCATGCCCAAAATCCCGAGAGGAGAATAGAGGAGAAGGGATGTGACCACCCCCCCTGGAGGGGGTGATTTCTTGCTTTCTGTCTCTCTGTCTCTCTCTGTATCTCTGGTGAGTGCACGTGCCCTATAGCAAAAATATCTCTTAAAAAACAAAATCCCACGTGGCTACACAGGCCAGTGCCAGTGTCTGTTCCAGCAGGACACCTTGAGGGCACCGGTGCCACGCCCCACCGTGTGTCAGCACCGTCTGGCGTGCACATCCGTGTGTGCAGCTGTGCACACAGACGTCCGGGTGCCCTGTGGCCCTTTTCTCTGAGTCACTGACTTTAGACTCTGATCTGCAGCCCCACTGTGCGTTGTTTGCCGTCGCCCGTCATGGGGACTCATGGCAGAGCGCGATGAGATGCCGCGTCCGCCTTCGGGCCGGGCGGGCAGTAGGGCGGGCGCCAGGCGGGGAGGCTGAGCCCCTGCCCTGTCCGCAGCTGCCGGTCCGCTCCATCCAGTACGCGGAGCGCTGCCGCCTGGTGCGCTGTGGTAACCAGCGCTTTGACGAGCACTGCCTCCCGTCCACCAGCGGCACCGACGTGGAGGAGCTCATCGACAAGTCCCGCATGGACGCCTTCCTCACCTACCTGCAGTGCTGGAGGCTCTGCGAGGCCCTCGGCCTCCCGCTGACGGAGGACATCCTCATGAAAGGTAGGGGGAGGACGCCTCCCCACCCCATATGGAGCAGGGATGAGGGTGGTCCTTCCGCAGAAAGCATGGGTGGTCCCTTCGTGTGCTGCTATTAGGTTGCTGGAAAAACTAGGGTGCATTTTTGCATAGAAAAGCATAGAGGGACTGGGTCCGGCAGGTGGCGTGGTGGTTAAAGGTGCTGGATTCCCACATGGCTGACCATGGTTCGAGTCCCAGACTTGGTAGCTTGCTTTCTTGCTTTCCCTTTCTCTCACTCTCCGGTCAAATTAAAAGTTAATAATAACGAATAAATATTATTTAAAAAATAAAACATGGAGGGACCAGGAGATGGGAGAATGGTTACATTGCTAGGCTCCCATAGTCGACCAGGGTTCGAGTCCTGGACCCAACAGCTTCAAATTCATGCCAGGCACGTGTGCGTGCATGCCCAAGATCCCAAGAGGAGACCGGAGAAGGGATTGTGGCATTGCCACTCCCCATGGGGGGCGGGGTGTGTGTGGGGGTGATTTTTCACTTTCTGTCTTTCTGTCTCTCTTGGTTTCTCCAACAAGCACATACACCCTAAAGCAAAAATCTCTTTAAAAAAAAAAGAAAAAAAGAAAGAACAACATAGAAAAAATATGTCGTAACTTTTCTGACAACCCAATAGATGAGATTTCTAAAATGTAAGGCCTGGGAGCCAGCAGAAAGCATGGTGGTTAAGGGCGCTGGACACCCACATGGTTGACCACGGTTCGAATCCCAGACCTGGTGACTTGCTTTCTCACTCTTGCTCTGTCCCTCTCTGTCAAATTAAAATAAATAAGTAAAGTTAAAATAAAATAATTCTTTAAAAAATTTAAAAAGCAGGACCAGCAATTAGCGTAATGGCTATGTCGCTGGACTCCCACGTAGTCGACCGCGGTTCTTTTTTTTTGAACCCAGTGGCTTAAACTCACCCCGGGCGTGTGTGCGTGCATGCCCAAGATCCCGAGAGGAGAATGGAGGAGAGGGGATTGTGGCGTGGCCATCTCCCCTGGGGGGTGATTTCTCGCTTTCTGTCTCTCTGTCTCTTTCTCTCTGTCTTTCTGGCCAGTGCACGCGCCCTGTAGCAAAAACCTCTCCAAAAACAACCTCAGATTGTTCCTTTACATTCAAACTCACCCCTGCGTGAGTTTAAGCCACCGGGTCCTGGACTCGAACCGCAGTTGACCACATGGGAGTCCAGCGACATAGCCATTATGCCAACTGCTGGTCTCCTGACTTTGGAGAGGGGGATTAAACAGAAATGCTAACTCCATTAAATCAAGACCCCTTCTCTAGGCCAGGTCTCGGTCTTGGTTGTCCCTTCTCTTTTTCTTTCTTTAAGTTTCTGTCACATGGTGTGTGAGCTTGCTGAAGAGAGACAGAGAAAGGGACAATGAGAGATTGTCCCCCGGGGGGATGGCCACGCCGCAATCTCTTCTCTTCCATTCTCCTCTCAAGATTTTGGGCACAAATGCACATGTGCCTGGTGTGGTTTTCAAGCCACCGAGTCTGGGATTTGAACTGTAGTCGACCACGTGGGAGTTCAGTGCCTAAACCACCGTGCCCTCCTTTTTGTTTTGTTTTGTTTTTAATGCTGAGGCCCTTCGGTCTCTGCTCAGACAGCGAGGCACAGCTCTGACGTTTCCACGCTGCTCTGCCTTCCAATTAGGGCAAGAATGACGTTTCCCTTGATCCCCACCGATCTGAGCCCCCTGTGTCTCTGGATAGCGAATATGTCTGATAGGTGGGGACAGGGGTGTGCCCAGCCCCGGGTGACCACTTGGCAAAGCCGGCACTGCAAACTCGTGAATGTCTGTGGACGGGACTGTGTGCTTTAAAAGGATAAAGAGCGCCGCCACCTGGTGGCAGCAGCCTGAACTGCAGTGCTGGAAACCGCATGGCCGACCACAGCGTCAGATCCGCCGGCTGGCCTGAAAACACACCGTGCGCGTACCTGCGTGCCCTAGATCCTAATGATTTGGGAGTCCGGGGAAAGGGGGTCATGGGGTGATGAGACTCTGGGTCCCACATGGCCGACCCTGTGATTCAAGCCCCAGATCCAGTAACTTGAAAAACATGCAGGATGCGTGTGTGTGCATGCCCAAAAGCCCAAGAGGAGAATGGAGAAGGGATCACAGCGTGGGTTACTCATCCTCTGGGGGGCGAGTTCTCACCCTCCCTCCCTCTGTCTCTCTCCAGTGGGTGCACACACCACATGGCAAAAATCTAATCAATCTAATCAATAAGGAGACTTAAACAAAACACTGGCCGGCCAGTGGTGTGGTGGTTACGTGGCTGGATCCCCCATGGCCGATTGCACAGTTCAAGTCCCAGCCCGGGTGACTTGGGAAACACTCCAGGCACATGTGCGTGCATGCCCAAAATCCCAAAAGGAGGGAGAGATGGAGAAGGGATTGCAATGTGACCGTCTCCCATGGGGGTGTTCTCTCTGTGTGTGTGTGTGTGTGTGTGTGTGTGTGTGTGTCAGGGCGCACATGGGCCCTCTAACAAAAACAATAATTATTATTATTATTTTTTACTATAGAGCACATGCACTCGGCCAAGAGACAGAGAGAAACCAAGGGACAGAAAGCGTGAAGCTATCCCCAGGGGGGATGGCCACGCTGCAATTCCTTCTCCTCCATTCTCCTCTCAGGATCTTGGGCACGCACGCATACACGCCCGGCGTGAGTTTTAAGCCACCAGGTCCGGGACGCGAACCACAGTCGACTACATGGGAGTCCAGTGACATAACCATCACACCATCTGCTGGTCCCAATAATAAATGTTTTAAAAAGCCAAAATATATAAACACTATGTGTGTGTGTGTATTTTAAACAAAAATGTGGATTTACTGAAAAATTCAGAGTGGACAGCAGATGATGTAGCAGCTATGTTGCTGGACTCCCACATGGCAGACCGTGGTTCGAGTCCCAGACCCAGTGGCTTGAAACAAGCCTGTGGGGACACGTTTAAGAGAGAGAGTCTGAGGTGTGGGGACATGTGCTGAGCAAACACCACATGCTCTTTTGGGGTTTGGCAGAACCTTGTAACTTGTCTTTCCCTGACCTTGGCTGCAGACAGAGCAAGGGTAGAAATTACTAGGGGCGTTCCAACAGACACACCTAACAGCTAGTTCTCTGCATTAGAAAGGAAGATGAGATTTACTCTAGATGGGATTACCACCAGGGGATACACCTTGCCCCGGGTATGACTAATCTCTTATAGATTTGTTAATGGCTTCTTATTGTCTGTAACCTGGCAACCAATCCATGAAGTATCATGAAACACACATGTGTAATGTTTTCTTGCACAATAAATAAAGACGTCCAGTTTGTCTGGGCGGCACAGGTTGCTTGGGCTACCTAGGCTCAGGCTGCCTGTGTCCACTTCTACTCTATCTTTTTGTCTCATCTTTTCTGCTTCTTCCATAATAGCGCTAAGCCTGGGGGCGGACGCCGACACAAGCCAAGCACGTGTGCGTGCGTGCCCAAGCTGCCAGGAAGAGAAGGGAGGAGAAGGGATTGCAGCATGGCCATCCCTTGTGGGATCATTTCTCACTGTCCCTCTCCCTGTCTCTGTCTGCCCCACACACACCCTGTGAGTGCACATGCCCTAAGGCAAAAAGCTCTTAAAAAAAATAATAAAATGAAGAGAGGAAGGCGCTGTCTGACCCCGGGAGCAGGGGCAGTGGTCTCCAGCTAACCACCCACCTTCCTTTGCTGCCACAGCGCTGCTGTACCCGGGGGACAAGATCATTTTCCAGAAGGACCAGGTGCGCCCGATCCGGCAGCCCGGAGGCTACTACTCAGACTGGAAGCACTTCACTCTGAGCCGCTCCCAGACGCTCGGCTGGTCTCCCGACCGGGGCGCGCCTGTGGCTAAGAAGAGCAACAAGTTGAGTTCCATCCACGCCCCTTGCCCCTGTCCAGGTCCCACCCAGCGTGCCCCTCAGCTGGGGGTGACTGATGCTGTCATGCCGGGGAGTCCTGTGGCTGCTGGCCTGGCTGCGGCCTCCTGGCCCCAGCTCCTACATTGGGTCACCACAGCTTTGCACAATGGCGAGGTCTCTGGAAAACTGGAAAAAGAGCGCCTTCTGAGAGAATGGGAGGCTGGGTGGGAGCTGTCACAAGTCCCCAGCAGGGGTTGGCAGCTGGTGTGGAGGTGAAAGCAGCTGGATTCCCCATGGCCGACTGGGAGGTTCAAGTCCTGCACCTGGCGCTTCAAAACTCACATCAGGCACATGTGCCTGTGTGCCCAAAATCCCAAGAGGAAGATAGAAAAAGGACTATGGGGACCAGCAGTTGGCGGAATGGCTATGTCGCTGAACTCCCATGTAGTAGACTGCAGTTCACATCCCCGACCCGGTGGCTTAAACTCACGCCGGGCGCCTGTGTGTGCATGCCCAAGATCCCAAGAAGAGAATGGAGGAGAAGGGATTGCGGTGTGGCCATCCCCCCTGGGGGGTGATTTCTTGCTTTCTCTCTCTCTGTCTCTTTCTGTCTTTCCAGAGAGTGCAAGTGTCCTATAGCAAAAACCTCTCCAAAAAAATAAAGTAAAGTAAATGGCCCCTCACCTGTCCCTGACCTGCACTCCAGGTCCCCATTATTGGGATGTCCCTTCCTAACAAAATGCATCTCTTTCTCCACCAGGAAAATGACCAGGAAGATCAAGAAGATGCACTTCAAGGAGTTCGAGGACTTCGTCAGGTGTGTGGCCATGTTCTAATCTGGAAGGAAGGGAGGCGGGCCAGAGGAGGGCAAGCCTTGTTTTGCAGAAGGAACCAGGGACTCTTAACCAGCCTTGGGGCTTAGTGCCCAGGGCCTGAGGGGCAGCGAACCACGACCTGGAGGGCGTGCCAAGTGTTAGCGCATGGGGGTCCTCTCAGAAGCTCTAGGAAGTTATACTTTGCATACCCTATTTTTTTTTAAATCTATTTTATTTTATTTTATTTATTTATTTATTTTAATTTGACCAGAGAGGGACAGAGCAAGAGAGAGAGGGTCTGAGACTTGAACCACAGTTAGCCGTGTGGGAGTCCAGTGCCCTTAACCACCACGCCACCTGCCGGCCCCAGCATACTTTTTTTTTTTTTTTTTTTTGGG